CTATTACTCTTTGCCAATTTGTGCATCAGTCCTTTGAAAGAAGTTACTAGAAATTAGGTGTTGATTTGTTGGTTTAGATTTTTGAAGTCTGTCTTTAATATATCGTGGTATAATCATAGTGTGTCATAATACATTCAGTTTTTTTAAATACTGCATGAAGTTGATACATGAATTAATCCCGACTGATGATGTCATAATAACGTCATCCTTTTTTTTTTATTGATTTTTGTATATTTTAGTTTCCCATTAAACATTTCAAAATTCGAAACAGCTCTGCGGTTGTTGCTGTGACAACCACTACCTCTAGTTATTTTTTATTTTTTTAACTTGTTGAAAAAATTTTCAGGCTTGCTCCGAAACATGAGGGCCAGCTGGGGATCTGCGAGCAGAACTATTTCAGAGGCCCTATATTGTAAAGTAATGAAAACAGATGTGCATAGCAATTTTGCATGACCATGAAAAATGAGGCTGTGATGTGTTCACCTGTAACATCTCAATCAACATACACGTAGGCCAGTACACCAGTGCATCTTCACACGTGCAGCTTTGACTTTGCCTATGCTTGCATGACTTTGAAAATGTGCATTTCCAGAAAATAGGGTAAATATATGTGTCTACATCATAAAATTCTTCCTCTAGCTCAGAGCAGAATACAATAGCTGAAATTGTTCTCTACCTTCCAATGGTCTTTGTTCATTATTAAAAGTTTATAAAGTAGTAACACAGATGAATAAATACCTAGGACAGTTTTTTTGTTCCTATTGGTCAAAACAGCCACCTGACAGTATATTAACATTTGATAATGCCCGCTGAGAAGTGATAATGCCCCCTGCATAAATCACATGCTTGCACATGGATATGAAACAGCTTAGTAGAGTCCAATTGGTCAATAGTCTGTGTGCACACAACAGCCACATGATCACCAAGTTCATTTAAGGAGATTCTATTGGACAAGTTGAAAAGGAATGTACCATAAAATGAATGGGTTGTTTGAGAAAATGAAAGTAAAATTCTAGAACAAACTCACTGGAAATCTATCACATGTTGACTTTTTTTGACTTCCTGCACAAAAAAGCATTTATGAATGGGAATAAATATGTGCTTGGCCGGTGGAACAATTGTATATGACCGGCCCATCAGGAGACTGAACGCTGATAATGGCCTCGTCTGCGGCTCGTGCATTAGTCGCGTCCATTCTCCTGAGCCGGTCTTACATGCATGTTTAAGACCAGATAATTGCACGTATTTATTCCATTAATAGAAAACTTGAACTAATGCATTTTAAAGTAAAAACGAAGAATTCTGTCAGATATTCCTGGCAAAAAATTAACCCCAATTGATGAGACTTTAGATACACAAAGGATTAAACCGATAGCATCTTAATCTTTGGATAAACAATGCAAACGAACAGGCAGGCTAGAAAGGCGGTACTTTTTCTGAGTTAGAGCCTACCAACTCAGAAACTTTCCAGTGGGACGTGGAGAGCGTGGTCTTTAACCATAGCAACCATCAAAAGCATTTTCGTAGACCAAAATTCAAATTAAAATGTGAACAAAAAGTCCAAATGAAAAATGTACTTTGAGACTTTTGCATGACTTTCCACAGAGCACGGCATCCTCTTACTATGCTCTTTTGAAAGGCACACAAAATTCTAAAAAGAACTTGGTTAAGATTTACAGAGAGTTTGTTTTGTTGGTCCCAGTCTTGATAACTTTGCTGAAACCCAAACAACTGTATTCCACTGTGTTTCAACACTGTTTAAGGAAGTTACCTAATTAATTCCTGTGACATTTTTATTCAACTTCCCACAAAAGAGACTGTTTTAAGTGCTCAAGTACTGATTGAACAAATTCTTAAAATACTGACAGAACGTCAAAGAGAACACCTCACCATCCCAGTGTTTACAGATTGATTCCAACATCTGCAGCCTGTCCATGGATAGCTGGGCAACAAGTGTAACATCATTACCATCTGGTTTCTGGGCACACAAAATGCAAATTTACAAAATCAGAATGGTCCTAACAAGGGTCACAGATGAAAATATTATACATGTACATATATGTACAGGTGTATGTGCAGATCTATCCAGTTGCTTCATCCCATGAAACACTGAAGGGTCTTCACATATTCCAACCAATCTGCCCTATGAATGGCAACAGCATATGCATAAAAACCTCCAAGGCATGGTACCACTGCCTCCTCATGGTCATGTTACATGCACATACTGTGCCTAGTGGTTATCTTCATTTTCCTGGGTCATTAGAACACTGAACAATGATAGAGGTGCATTTGACTGGTAATGGTAACTGTGTATATATTGATGCAAGGAAATACTGCATATTTACCGGTGTATACTGGTAGTCCAGGTAGTACAAGTGTGTTCTATGGGTGAGAATTTTCTCTCTTCGAAACTCGTAGCACTGGTCATCTTCATCTAATTTACTAAACTGTAAAGTGATATTAATAAGAAAAGGAGGTCATAAAGAATTTTTAAAAGTAATTATCAATGGTAGTTAGAAGTAAGTCATGCATGTAAAAACTGTAATGAAACACCAGCACTTCTAATCAAAATGCTGAACAGCGAAACTGGCAAGAGTGAAATTTGACTGTGCAAACCACTCAAACATCATGCTAATGCTGTAATAATTGAACTTTGGTATTCTCTGAATTCACCACAATCTTTGCTCTGGAGGTGCTAGTCAAAACCTGCAAACACATGGCCCGGGATCTTTCCACAATGTTTCAAACTCCTCCACCACAGCTACTGTGGGCCTAAGCCCTCATGTCCAATCCTTTTATTTTCTTCAATCTTTACACTGTATTTGCAACCAGATTAGTGACCAGAAAATGAATAAACATAATACACAATATGAAGTGCGTTCCATGTCTTGTATTATTATGTTAATTATTTATTTTAGAGCCATGATGTGTATCTCTCTGTTGTTAAAGGTTGAGTGATTTTTTTGACGTTTTGGAACAAGTGTGTGTGAGGGGTTTGATTGGCCTGTAGACAGCTGATGTGTAGGGATGAAAAGAAAAAGCAAGCTAAGAGGGAGAACGCAAACATCGGTAGCAAGCACACCACAATTTTCGAAATTCTCTGAGAAATGCTTGAGCCCGTGAGTTTTCCAGGCAAAGAACTGGCCCTGCACACGTAAGTTGAACTATTATTATTAATTTTGTGTAAATACTGAATTTGATACATGTATTAGATTTTGAAGTGAATTTCCATAACTTTGTATTTGTCATGATGAAAAGATGCCTGATTTTGACATATGAAGAATGATTATGGTCTAGAAATACAAGATTCTTGCTTTTAACCCCTTCACGGTGGGATTATTTTGACCACGACAGCTGCGCTGTGGTATGCCCTGACTGGAAGGCTTTGTCCAGCAGCAGGCCCCATTGAACCAGCAACTGCATGGTGAATAGACTGTGCTTGTGGTATGCACTAATCCTCACACAATGGTGCGGTAGTAGCAGTCCTCCTAGCGAAGGGGTTAAAGAGATCAGAATAATTTGCGTTTCACTGATAAAGGAATTGACGTTTGTTTTTAACTTGTGCGGAAGAAGTTTAATTTGATATTTTGCTCAGATTTCCTAAACTTGACTTCGTAGCCACGTTATAGTTAAAGAAATGCTTAACCACTTCCTGCCGGGGCAGTTATTAATGTTGATGATGCTGGGGCGGGATATTTATTTTTTTTTCTGTTTTCAAAATTCTTTAAACTGGCTCATCGCTGCGGTGGTGAAGTGCTTTTGTCCCAGGTGGTAATCCGCTCGCTCTAAATGCCCAAAACCGTGGTATACTGTTTCAAAACAAGGCTGGATTATCTCCACTTTTGAGAGTGAAAAAATGACGGTAATTCCCAGCATCCTGGTCTTTTGTTCCGAGTCAAGTATTTTGTTACAAAGCCCTGTTCCCTTTGTCCGAGTTTGGAGACCCCAGCCACGCATATAAAGCATACATGTACGTGTCCGGATCCGGAATCCCCAGCGGGAAGTGGTTAACACTGAAATTTTCAGATGGCTTTTAAATGGGACATAAGATGTCAATGAGCCACTGACGGGTGCCATTGAGGGTACCGCTGACTGGCAGTGAGTCCACCACTGGGCCAGCTCCTCTAGTGACATCAGTCACAAACGACAAAGTTCGCTGTGATTTGATGCATTTGAGGAGGGAGTTCATTTTAACTTTGCTTAACTATTTAGACTTATTATTTTTTGCTCGTTTTTTTTTTATTGAATTTAAATTTATTAAAATTTGTTGACCTATTGTACTAGTCATTTGGATTTTTTGGCTCTCCAACTTAACTTTGGATTGGTCATGGCAGCAGACGTCCTGGTGTTTTCTTTTTTCTTACAAAGTACTGCGCAGCTAACCAAGCGCGTGTGACAGTGGGTGGAGTCTTCTGGAGAATACCTACCCAAACAGTCACTACATATGCAAATTTCCCATGCACCTATAGTTTTTCTCTAAAAAGACTTGATCATCCGTGGTGCCCCCTGACCTCCCACTATGCTTTGCAGTTACTCTGCCATGTTTGTCCTTCTTTTCGAAAGCGATTAAAGATGTCCGAGCTGGGGCAGGGAGGACTGTTTGGGTAGGTATTCTCTAGTAGACTCCACCCACTGTCACGCGCGCTTGCTTAGCTGCACAGTACTTTATAAAAAAAAAAGAAAAAAGAAAACACTACACCACACTAGCTGTGTGGGAGGACTCTACCTACCCAAACAATCACTACACATGTAGAGTGGCACCAGTCTACGTGGGGGGGGTTGGCTACAAAATATGTAATGTCGTAAAAGGATAAATGCCCACCTAACAAGGTCAGATATGTGCATCAATAATGATGGCAAATCTGTATGATAACGGAGGTCGGGAACTTAACTCCCTCTAATATGGTCTTCAGGATGCATTGCCATCTGTCCTTGCTGCAGGAGTCTGTGCAGCGGACCGTACGATCATCCTGCCATGTAGAGAGTCACTTTGCAGGATGCCCCTCAGTAGCAAGAGGTAAAGGTAGAGAGTTTTTGACATGCAGCCTTGCAGAAGTCTACAGTAGAAAGCCCTTGAAATTAAGGCACAGATGTACATGTAGACACCTGCTCTTACATCATGGGCCCAACGATGTTGCATTGACTATGTTCCTCAGTGCATGATGACCCATCTGGCTGGGTGAATGTGAAGGCCAACAACGTCCGGCGGGTGATGGGGTCTCTTGCTGGTGGGCGATGGAGCCTTGTGGTAGTGAGGAATCATTGGGTGCCTGTCCCTGTCCAGTGCTTTGCTTTACTAATTCAGTATCTGGACTGGGCACCAGAGTTTGTACATAATGTCTCCAGTGTGTGAGGCAATCGAGAGTACAAATATATCTGACGGCTCAAATGATGAGGTGACACTTTTTTGTCAAAAAGCTGATAGACAGGATGAGGCTGAAATTATGCAGCCACCAGCAAGAGTGAGCTTTGGCAAACAGAGTGGACTTGGAGTATATTGTCCTATGGAGGCACCCACAGCCAGGAGGAAGGCTGGGTTGGTGCAGGCACACCATAGGGAGATGTCAATGAGGGGCTCAAACTAAGGGGGGCAATAAGCAAGTGGAGGGCTTTTGCTTAGGTCCCCAGACATGAGCAGCTGCTTGGTATGAAGATGGTCATTGGACATACCACACAGGAGATGACGAAGGGCCATATGATCAGAGATGGGACTTGTTTCCAAACCAATTGTATATAGAGGCCATGGATGATCTGTAGAAGCAGACCATAGAAACCTCTCCACAGTGGAAAAGGTAGATGAGGAAATCCGATGACAAACAGATGACAAACAGATCAGATGACAAACAGAGAAGTGCTGTACCCATGTGGACATGGCTGCAGCATCGTCAGAAAATTCTGCAGAGCAGAAGGATCGTTGGACGATATCCAATACTGTATAATACTGCAAGATCCCTCACTTGGGCTGCTGGGAGGAGATCCAGTCTGATCAGGATATACAGCTAGTGTACCAACAGTCTGTTCTGTCCGGGGAACCAAGGCTGAAGCTGCCAGAGCGGGGCGATTTCCGGTAGCGTTTGTGCTGTATCTCAGGGAGGACCAGAGGGATCAGAGAGGAAGAGGGAAAGCATACGCTAATAAGGAGGCCTGCTTGATCTGCAGATAAAGCAATCCTGGCCTATGTCCACAGATATGGTGCTCTGGTGGAAAACACCTAGAGTAAGGTCTTGTCCGCTGATGAGAAGAACTCGATGTGAGTACATAAGGAAGAGTGTTCTGACTATGCCAAGGAGCAGAGTCCACTGGGTTGTTGTGAGAGCACAACCACTATCATATAATCCGGTCTTGCAATATGTTGATCACATGGTCTTTTATCCATTATAAAGTTCTCATGTCAGGATGCCAAACTGGGAAAAAAAGAAAATGTGTGTCAACTTGATGGCGGGGATTAGCCATTGCCATTGAGTTGTCTGGGCTGACCAGGGTGTTCTCCCTGTGATGCATATGAGGAGAAAATGTGGGGTGTGGAAAATCACTTGAAGTTCCTGCAGTGGGTACAGAAGTGATTTTACTGAGAGTAGGCATTCCAGTTCCCGGAAACCCCAAGTAAGGGAAGGGAGCTAGCTTCATTCAAGTGAGGATGTGGTCCTTTATCAGCATGTTGGATTTAGGCCATGAGACTGAATTCGGCGTTTAAGTGATCTTCCTTTAGCTACCATAACAGATGTGTGAAAGTGTCCTCTGATTAGAGGACCAGAAGTTCAATGGTCAAGGATGGTATAGGAAAGCAGGCGCAGTTGCAGAAGAGACTCAAATGAAGCCTGGACCAAAGTCCACCCTGTTGGCCGTTAGTCCAAGGAGGTGGAACCAGGCAAAGACTGAAGGCAATTGAGAGGACTAAAGTGAGATGGGTCCTTCTGTAGAATGGAAACTTATCTGGCCATTGGGGTGATTCTGCATTCGATCATCGCCCAAATGTTAGTTGGGAGTGGGGATGGTGCCAGCGTCTATCTTTTTTGGTTGATGAGGAAGCTGAGTGGGGAAGTGAGGTCGCAAATAAGGTGGGTTGACTCTACGGCCTCTGGACTGTCCGACAATCAGCCAGTCCCCTAAGTACTGGGGGATCATAATGTGCAACTGTCGTAGATAGGCGGTGTCGGTCTTCATAACATGGTGAAACTCTGGGCAAAGTAAACAGACCAGATGGAAGAGCTTGGGGTTTGTATGTCTTCCCTTTGTTCATGAATTGGGAAACCTGTGGATACGTTCATGTGGAATTTCTTGGTGTGGATGAAGCTATTCAGTGGTTTCAGATTGATGATGAGATGCCCTTTGTCTCATTCCTATTTAGGTGCAAAGAAGAACCTTAAAAAAGAGATTGACGTTTGCTTGGCTGGATTGAACTTGAAGGATGGTGTACTTTACAGTAGGGATTTCATCTCTGACCTCAAAACGAAGCATTGGTCTTTTCATGGGACTGGAGTTTGATCCGAGGACTGGTCCAATGCAATCTCTAGCCAGGACTCTGCAAAAAGATGTAAACAGCCACCAGCAGGCTCAGGATCACCAATCACAGGTGGTGAAGCAATGTTGTCATTGGCAACACCCCCAGAATACACGGGAAGTGTGTAATGAATATGCTTGCCCCTGGTGAGCTTCATTCATCTAAGTGGTGCAAGTTGAAGCCTAGCAACAAGTAGGCTAACTCTAATAAGGCAAGAGTTTGGGTCAGCAAATATAGCACAGCTGATGTTGTTGTTTAGCCAGAGGCAGTGTTTAACAGAACGACAATACTTCCTGATAGCATAGATCTGTTCTGCCTCGGTCTCCAGAGTGTCCAGAACTTACCAGCAGAGCAGTCCTTTCCTTAGAGTGGGAATGTCTGGAGGTGAGTCCTCACACTATTCTAGAAAACGTGTATAGTATCCAGGTCATCAGATCCCAAGGTTGAAGTTGCCAGGAAGGAAATTGAAGTGAATTGTTTAAATACATGGATAAGCCCTTCATCAAGGCTGCAAAGGGCTATGGCTGAAAACTCTTAGGACACTCCTCATTTGAACAGGCCAGGTACTTTTGATAGCAGCAGAGACACAGTAAATTGTAGCCCAAAATGGGTTTAAATAATGAAGCCCTTGTCTCGGTTGATTGAGTGGAAGAATGATTTCCCAAGACAGCAGAGGTTTTTTTTAGCACGTATTTCCCAGTACTGACGACAGAAGTTTTCTGCCGAGCAGATAGACCATGATACTTTCTGTTTTAGAGTTCACACTACACCGTGGTATACTGGGCTTAGGAACATAAACTTATATACATGTAAACTTTTATACCGTAATGTATTCGATGGGGCTCCAAGAAGACAGGGCTCCATCACCAGAAATAACTGAAGGGAACAGGGATAATATTTCCTGCTCAACTTAATGCATCAGTTCAGTGGGCCTAGGCAACTTCCACTATCCAATTTGTCCACTGGCCCATGACTACTGGCATTAAAGGAAAGAATACCACTAGCACCAATATTCCCTTCCTTGTTTCAGTCCCGCAAGTGCAACCAAAGAAGCAGACCCAATTATTAAGAATTTATTAGGGAATTCCTGCTTGCGGCTAAGGCCTATATGCCCGTTACAGCTGCAAGGAAACAACGCCCTCTCAAGTGGCTGGGCCTTGTCCTCGTCCGGCCAATGTAAAATGAATCCCCCATTCAAATGGCTACGCCTTATCCACATATGTGCGCCTAAAGTACGGTGCATCCACACAAAAAACATTGTCTCAGACAGTTAGGTTTTGTGGATTTAATGAGCTGCTAAATGTGTGAATTGCCCAACTCAAGCAGCAAGGCCTATAATAATGCTGCAGGGTTGGCCACGTCTCATAACATTAACAGTATGTGCCTACAGAATGCACACACAGAAATACTTGAGAAAACGTCACCAAAATATGAGAACCTATCACTCTTAGAAAGTTAGAACCACAGATAGTATTAATTTATTTAGAAAGAAGCAAAGGATGATCAGGTCAACACAGAACCAAAAACGGAACTCGAAAACTCCAAGATGCCTAGCAAGACACTTCTGACAAATTACGGTGCTGAGAAAAGAAGGGATGAACATGGCAGCGTGACCGCAGTGCATAGTGGGAGGTCAGGGGCACCACGGATGATCAAGTCTTTTCAGCAAATAACTATAGGTGCATGGGAACTTTGCATATGTAGTGGCTAGGTAGAGTGCCACAGACCTGGGATTTTATAACTAACGTCTCAAATAGGATGTAGCATGTTGTTATGAGTCATCAACAAAACAAATATACATGTGTGCAACATTTTACACTACTTAAACCCATACAGTCGTGTAAGTTTTATTCCTAATACACAGAAAAGAAGAATCACTTAATGATACATGTACATGTAGTTGCATCCATGCTGATGGTACATGAAGATGTGTCTTACCAAGTATTCTGCAGTTCTTTTCTACATAATACTTCACTTTAAAATCTGTATCTACAATCTGTTAGCTTTCAGCACAAAGTGAATATACTCCTTTCTCTTTTGACTTCATTGTCTTCATTTTTAACTATTTCCTTTTTTGCCTCTTCCTTCAAGAGTTTCCCACCCTAAGTGGCCTTCGTGCCTATTGAGGGGCAACTTCCATAATAAAAAAGACTTATACATGTAGATGTACTTCTCAACATCCCACCTTTTCTTCAAGGGAAACATTCCCTTTTCCCTCTGCGCAGCCAAACAGTTCCCTCCTCAGCAAGTTGCCGTCATACTCCAGGAAGGTCAGGTACAGGTTACGGAAAAACTCCACATGCTTGTTCTTGACGCGCAGCTTCTTGGGGGAGTTCCAGTGGATGACCTTCAGATCAGTGACCTCCGCATAGCACAGCTTTTGTGTAAGAGGAAATTCAAAAAGCCATACTCAACAAGGTGCCAATTCTGTCAAAGAAACTACATGTATTAGTTAGCGTAGGTGGAGCCAGGGGGGTCCTGGGGGTCTGGACCCCCCTTTCATAAGAGGACTCTTTTTTTAAACTCGGGATCGACAACAAACATAGCATTTTGTTGATGTTTTCAAATGTTTTGGATGAGGGACCTGACTTAAAGCCGTACGTGCTGGAATATTACCATGGTTTTTGGAAAATGGGTATTGGGTTTCACCTCGATTCTCACGTTGTAAAATGTTCCTGCAGCTTATGGGCAGCTTACACGGCCGGATGGCCACACTTGCAATCAGCGAACGTCAATAGGCCTAAGTTCCCCCCCCCCGATCGAATGCTCTAACCCGCCTGAGGTAAAGTTAGTTCCAGCATATGTTGGCGCAACTTGGACTCCTCAAATTTGGTGGATTATTGTACGTTATGCCAAACATAATGATCTGCCCCCACAGATGAGCTGCGATGATGCGCAAAACAACGTGTGGACAAAACTGGCCTTTACCTCTGGGCACATCTTATTCAATTGGACCTGATACGTAAACTCCCTGATGTCCTTTGAGCATGCAACGAGGCTGGAGGAACATGCACATTAATTTTTAGTGAATAGACTAAAAATAGCATTGAAGGATTATTTTTTTTATCGTCTTTGAAATTATTTTCAACTTACACAATGAATAAAATACCACGCAAAATAAGTAGCATTTATGTCTGCATATGGATGAGATTAGTCTCGCAGACGTAACTCTATCATATTTACTGCCGAATGCATTATTTCTAAACCACACTTTCTGCCATAAAGCCTTTTTTGCCATGCCCTTGTTGCTGCCTAGACTGTTTTCAAGGCGCGTATACCGTATTTGCAAAGAGAATTTTGGTTTTAAAGGCAAGCCCTTACAGTAGTAACTTTTTCCGACTTACACAAAGACTATTTTTAAACAACTCAACTTGCACACTTGACCATTAGCTTTGCGTCAACTTCCTCTGTGTTTAGAACTCCATGCAGTGACAATGTATCATACGTTGACTTTGACACTGAAGTTTGTCAAAATAGATCTAAAGACTAATAAAGTAGCACTACTCGTTCGCGCGTTGCCGACACTTTTGGATTGCCTAATCTCACGTGATGCGGACTTTATTGTGGGTTACATTAAAGTTTTGCCTGTACATTATTTATAGGCTTATATCATTTAAAACCATCTTGAATGAGGGTAACCCTTCCAGTGAAATATGATCATTTGGGGCCCTTAAACAGTGAACATACATCAAAACAAAGATAAATACAATGCAGGATCTGGTACAAGATAAGTAGGGAAAAGAGTAACAGGAAGAATTTTAAAAATGCCTCCTTTTGAGTATATTGAAATGCATATGTCTCTGAAATCTCTAAAGGCCATTTCTGGTGATTGAATACATTGTATTTTTATTTTTTGGTGGCTATTGTCAAAGTATTTGAAATTGTTCCCTGCCTCTATTATTATTTGCAGCCGGATACCATTTTCCTCAGTCCGGTATCAAATTGATCCTTTTTGCAACCCCACATGTTTTGTTCAGTCTAAAAGGTCACCTTGTGTGCCCGGTAGAAGGACGTAAGCACAAAGGCCCTTCTGCCGGGAAGCATGATCACTGTAAAAAACTTTTCCTGGCAAAAGGATGAAAGTGTGCAACTATTGTATTTTAATGAAATATGAAAATTTCTTGGCAAAAAGTTCAAAAAAGCCGAAGTCCTTTAATAAGTTGCTTTTTGTATAGCCCAGGTTGATTTTGTAGTAAATTATATCCGTTTTTACTAAATAAAGAGAGTTTGTTTCTTACCCCCTTTTTGCCAGGAACATTTTTTCTGCTGTGATCATGCTTCCCAGCGAAAGGGTGTAAGTGCACTTACGCCCTTCTGCTTGGTACCCGACAATCTATAATTTTCAGGTTAAGGCAAAGGAGTACATAGCAACCTGAAATTCATGCTTTTTGGAACAAAATATGTGCCTTTGGTTGGACACCCCCTTTTGAAAAATCCTGGATCCGCGCCTGGATGGAATAGCAGAGATCAGTGAATTGATTAAAGGCAGAACAGATCATTTCCAACTTTGTTAAAGTCAACCAACAAAATTATTGCAAAAAATCCTACTTGCTCAAAATATAGTAATGACATTACACTTCGTTATAAGTTACACGTACAAAACCATTTCCAAAGATGTGAGGTATTTTGGAAACTAATCCATGAATACTGCCCCATCAGTTGCTCAAATCATGAATGGCTGCTACAAATTTATGGGCAAGATTTATACCAGGCACTACCCTAGACTCCTGTGACCTCAGTCACCTTTGTAGAACTGGATGATTAAGAATCACCAACAAATCCAAATGCTGATTTAGAGGTTCGTCATGAGGGTGCACGTCAATCACGAAGGAGTGGAGCGTCACTAGACTGAGGAG